ACATAGATATTTCCATAGAGATTATAAGGAAAATTCTCTAAAAGTTCCCTGTCAATGTAGGACAGATGAAAACTGAGGATATATTCATGGAGGTAAAGAAACACCTAGGACTGGGGAGCCAAAACTTAAAGAGCGAGCCCTGGCCATTGTGGCTCAGTTGGTTGGGCATTGCCCTGGGCACGGAAAGATCGCAGGGTCAGATCCTGATCAGGGCACTTGTCTGGGCTTCAGGGTTGGTCCCCAGAAGGAGGGGTGCAGGAAGCAGCCAAGCAATGTTCCACTCTCACATCAATGCTTCTCTCTCTCCCTCTCCCTTTCTCTCTCTCTCTTTCCCCCCCCCTCTCTCTCTCTCTCTCTCTCTCTCTCTCTCTCAAAAAAGTCAATAAAAATATTAAAAACAAAAGTAACAAAAACACTTAGAAAGACAACTTTTTTTTTTTTTTTTTTTTTTTTTTTTTTTTTATTTTACATATTTTATTGATTTTTTTTTTTGCCCCCCTCCTTCCCTCCCATGTATCCCCTCCCTCCCCAGAGTTTTATGTCCATTGGTTGTACTTATATGCAGGTATACAAGTCCTTGGGTTGATTTATTGTCTCCCCCAGACCCTCCTCCCCTCCCCGTTGTAATTTGACAATCTGCTTGTTGCTTTACTGTCTCTATATCTATCTTTTGGTTCATCAGTTTATAATGATCTTTATTATCCACAAATGAGTGGGGTCATGTGGTGTTTCTCTTTCATTGATTGGCTTATTTCACTCAGCATGATGTTCTCCAATTCCATCCAGGTTGCTGCAAATGATGAGAATTCCTTCTTTTTTATGGCAGCATAGTATTCCATTGTGTAGATGTACCAAAGTTTTTGGATCCAATCATCAGCTGACGGGCACCTCGGCTGTTTCCAGATTCTGGCTATTGTAGATTGTGCTGCTATGAACATAGGGGTGCATATATCCTTTCTGATTGGTGTTTCTAGTTTCTTGGGATATATTCCTAGGAGTGGGATTACTGAGTCAAATGGAAGTTCCATTTTCAGGAATTGTAAACACACACCTCCTGAAGCAGCCAATTATCTTTTTAGTTCTACTGATTCAGTCCATTTTATTCTATGCATAGGGTCTAGGTCTATATTCTGAAACTTAACTAAAAATACAAACCTTGAGTCCATTGAGTTTACTCAATAGTGGAATATGTTTCTTATAAGACATAGATTTTTAAATAGCCTAACATTTTGAATGTTCTTATTTGAGGATAGCTTTGTTTGTTTCTATTATTTTAATAAATTGTAATTCAAAATATAATGCAATATTCCAACAACTGTCTGAGCAGAATATGCTATCCCCTTTCTCATTCTAGATAACATTCTTCTGTTAATGCCCATTGGTTTTATTGGCTGCCACAACACCCTGTGGCTCATTAAGTTTCTTGCTGAATTTATCTTCCATTTGGCAATTTGTGCTGACACTCAACCTCCTCTTCTCTATACATATGTCCCTGTATTTTGGAATTAGGTTCCAGGTCTTACATAGTGTTAGTTATCATAGAAGAGAGATTAATATTCACCTCATAAAAACCATTTGTTCATTTCTAGAGAATTTCCCCAACTCCACTGTAATCTCATGTTTATAATAAGCATTGTTCAAAAAGAAAAGAAATATAAACATGGTATATGGGGGTATGTGGCATATGCAATTAGCAAGGGAATTTTCAGCATTTTTCTGAAGCAAAATTCTAAGCTAATTTTAAAGGATGCTGACTATAGAAAACTGATACAGGAAATAAGTCAGCAAAAGAATTTAAAACACAAAGGACAATAGAAGTACTAAGCACAAAAATGGCAACATGAGTTGGTTTATACATATGGCAAAATTAGACTGTCATCTTTAAGTACTCATTAGTTAGATCTTAACTTTGCACCTCTTTCACAGACATAAGTTTTGTGTCTAAATCTCACATAAGTGTTTAAGCACTAAGATTATATTATATTGCTTTGGTGGAGAATTGCTTTAATTATATTTAATCCTATTTCAGACTTATAACGAAGCATTGTAAAATATTGGAGGAGGAGGGTAGATGTAAAATTCTGGTCAGAGATTTTCTATGTTCTTATGTGTCCTCCCTCTATTATTGCGTATAAACATTTCTAGGATGAACCCAGAAAAACTGGAGGAAATATTTGCCACTGCTTTGAAGGATTGTATCTTTCTTTAAAGGCCATACTTGATGGAGAATCTGTGAAATGACAGATTGTATTTCACATTTTAAAATCATGATTCCTCTCTTCTCTCAATGTAATTTTCCCTGATCTCCTTCTATCAGCTAAAGTTTCACCTCTTGTGTTTTATTCCATTGAGAACCAGCTAGGAAACTAGCTAATTAATAACTTAGAATGAGATAACTTAGAATGAGGATTGTTATTTTAGAGAACCTATCTATTGATCTTAGGGAACTGTGGGAGGCTTTGGATGATTCCTGAAGCTTACTGTGTGCCTTAAAAGAGACATAATGAAAGTGGTTTGTGGTTGCTAATTTTCCAGGTACCATGTTCAGACCCCACCAGCAAGAACCTTGTACTACTCAGGACAGCATAGTGGTTAAAAATAAAGTTTGTGATGAAATTCTAACTCTTCCACTCACCTAATGTGTAAAAAGACCTTTCTAGGACTCCATTTTCTCATCATATAATGAGAATAACGTGGCCAATTCAGAGAATTAGTATGAGAACTAAATCATTGCACATACATGGAAGGCATTCAAAAAGTGCAGCAAATATTATATTCATTAACTACTGCTATGTAACAAATTACTTCAAAACTTATTAGCTTAAAACAATGAAAACTTTTTTATCTCACAGAGTTGGGAGCAGCTTAGCTGGATGGTTCTGCCTCATGGTCTCCCATGAGAGTGTAGACTCAATGTTGTCCAGGGCTACCGTCATCTGAAGGCTTGACTGGAGCTGAAAGATGCACCCCCTAGCGGGTTAATTCACAAGGCTGTTGGTAGGGGGACTCATTGCTTGCCCTGTGAATCTCTTCAGAGTATTATCTTAATGACCTCATGACATGACACCTGGCTTCCCCCAAAAGCAAATAATCCTAGAGAGAAAGCCTGAAGCTGCAGTGTCTTTTATGACCTAGCTTGTAGTAATCATTTCCACAATATCCTACTTGGTTGCACAGGTCATCCCAATTCAACATGAAGAGAACTACAAAAGAGTGTGAATTACAGGAGGCAAGAATCATAAGAGCCATCTTGAAGACTAGGTGATTTTAGCAAAGTTGATGACGCAGACTCCAAGATTTAAGAGCTCTCACAGATCCCAGCCGAAATGAGTGACATTCCCTTTTGCCTCAGAATACAGAAGAAGAAGCTGGGTATTCAATGTGACACTCTGATCATTTACAGTGCCTTGGAGACAGTTCCTGAGGGAACTGTTCTCTTGAAGAACAATATAACTTACCATTTTCTAGGTTCCTAAAATATAGTATATTCTAATCTCTCTCAACAAATATTGCTAAATGCTAGGAACTCTTCTATTTGCTTGAGATACATCAGTGAACAAAACAGACAAAGATCCCCGCCCTATTATAGTGGAGAGAGAAGCAATAAAAACTAACAAATTATATTGTTTTTTAATGAAAGTGAAAGAAAAATAAGATGCACAGTATAAGGGGGATCTGTAATGTTGGGATTGAGTAGGGGGCTGGTTCAGGACTAAATAACTTATAGGCCTACCTCTGAGAAAGAAAAACTGCAAGTTTATGTACACCGAGGAACATAAAACACTAATTGAAAGCCGTAGCTTATAGAACCTGAAAGACATACTCCATGTGGTTCTGGGCCTCTGAACACCAATGAGAGTAGCTGTGAGACAGAACACATTAGGAGCAGCACACAGAGGCCGGGGAACTGGACTCTGTGTGTGGCAGCCAATTACCAGTGTAGTACGATGTGAATGAGGCCCAGCCAAGAGGAAGGGTGGTGGACTGGAAGCTTCTATCTGTATGGAGGTCTCCAATGGATAGGCCATGCAGTAACCTTTGCGGCAGAATTAGCATCTACGTTACACAGAAGAGGAAAAACAACTATTCAGAAGCCAAATGGCTTATTAGGCACCCGATTCTTTTCAAAGACTTATGGTGTGCTTCCCATAGGCATATCTCTTATTCCTGAATATACAAAGGCATCATGTGGGATTCTAAATGTGGGACTCAAGAAGGGACCACAAATTTAAAATTTATAAATGCAGTATGGCATGTAGTGTCTGGGCTGATCTCAATATCTCAAACAAGATTTCTTAAGCATCATGAGGCATAATGCTAAACATGACTGAGAATCTCCTGTCTCTCTTGCTCTCTACTGAGTGGGGCTATACATGTCACGGAAAGCACACATAACAGAGCACAGAGATTGCTGCATACATGGAGCTTCGAGGCTTGCCTTCATGTGCTGGTAGGAAAGTGAGGCTCACCCCCAGAAAAGCCTGCATTCAACATGGCAGTAGTGGCTAGTGTAAGGGAGGAGAACTTTTCCTCAACCTTCTTAGGGTCCCTGGCTGAGCCCACGAATTAAACTGACAAAGATTAGCAGGAGAAATTCAACAAATGTATTCACATGACATGGCAGCCTTCATAAGAAAATGAAGACCTGAAGAAATAATTAACCTTGAGTGTCTTTATAGTACCGTAGGTTTGAAGAAGAGTGGAAAGTTGTGGGGAAATGTGATAGATAAAAAGATATAAGCTAAGGATACAAACTGAGGGAAACAGCAAGACCCATTCCTTTATATTCTTCTCCCAGACACTCCAGAGATAAGGATCCTTACCTTTGGGCAGAGGGAAGGCATCTCTCACATAGAATCTTATGACCCGCTGTAGAGAAGAGAGAGGTCACCTGCTAATCCTTAAATTCCTTCAGTTTAAAATATTCAATATGCAATAGGTCAGTATTTGGGAGTAGCATGTTCTCAATCCCATGACTATGAATTTGGATCAAATGGCTCTCAATCAACTCTGTTGACAAGAACACAGAATACAACTAATCCTTAATAGCCCATTGGAAAATTCCATTATGTGCTCATACTTATGAGTATTCCTTAGTGAAGTTGGACTAGACGATATATAATTCTTATTTTTGATACACAAATAGTTTGACTGCTAAAACAGCGCTACCCTAGAGACAGAGATAGAGAAAACCTGAATGTGTACTGCAAAAGAATTTTGAAGGCTGGTGATCCTTATGTTATTTTTCTATTTTCTAAAGGTAAAGACCATTTTTTGTAGCCTTAATAGAAAAGGAGAGGGCATAGTGGTGACAGCTAAAGAAATCATGCCCCTAGGATGAAATGAGGGGTCTAGATCTGTGGTTGGCAAACTACAGCTTGCGAGCCACAGTGGCTCTTTGGCCCCTTGAGTGTGCCCCTTCCACAAAATACCACGGCCTGGGTGAGTCTATTTTGAACAAGTGGCGTTAGAAGAAGTTTAAGTTTAAAAAATTTGGCTCTCAAAAGAAATTTCAATCTTTGTACTGTTGATATTTGGCTCTGTTGACTAATAGTTTGCCGACCACTGGTCTAGAGTATTCCTCACAACATAAAGACATAAAGAGGCAGCTCTCATCCCATGGGATTCTTGGAGACTTCTTGTAATGGTCCAGTGGCCAAGTACCTGTCCTCAGTCTATGCCCTTGCTGTATGGCATTAAATAACTGCACATGGCATACCAAATGTATTCTGATGTCTTAAAGGCAAATGAAGCCAACAGTAACTTGCTGAGTAAATACAACTACAACCTCACCTTGCTCTTTGTAAAATGAAAAAAAAAATATGTATTCCTATATATAAATCATAAACCCACTAAGCTCAGCCTCAGAATTTGAAATCAATCTTTTCTCTTGAGAGTCATTACTCAGGTTCTCATCTTTGTAAGAGAACGGTGACATTTTTGCTTTAAAAAGAACTCATTTTAATTTTAATTCCTACCCACCATGCATATTAAATTATTAAACCCAGCAGTGTGAGCAGTGGAATGCTTGCCTCTGCCCCCACCAGGCCCAGAGAAGCCAGGCCAGAGGAGGAAAGGCGAAGAGAAACACCAGACAAGCTTTTGAGAGCCCGAGGATGCCCTGAGCAGGCAGAGGCCTACCAATCAACACAGCTGTCACATCACTGTTGTCATCTCCCTTTCACCGATGTTTAGCTCCTATCATATTCAAGAATTAAATTCTCAACTTTGAGTGGGGGAAAGAATGGAGATAATGTTTATTCCACAGACTTTTATCTCTGGTTTGCCAAGCTGAGTTCTGAATATGTAAATACCTTGCGCATGGAGATGTAAAAGACTGTCTTCTTGCTCTTGTTAAAGATAGGAATTAAGCCAGAATGTTCTCAGGGTAGGCTGGCAGAGAAAGCAGGGAGGTATATTTCTACCAGGGTAGCTGTTGAAGCTAATTTATCTAGAAATCCTGACAAAATGACTAGGTATTTTGTAATTGCTGTTTTAGAAATACAGGTTTACGTCGCTGGGGGAGGGGCACTGAGAGCAAATAAAGGGCCTGTTGACAGGTTTTTGTTCCAGGTACTCACCATCAAGGCAGCCTGCCAGCATAATGCATGGTTCTCTGAGCAGAGCGCGGGCATTTGCTTAGCAATAGCAGCTTATGGTGAGAGACTTGGGAGTCATTAGGCCTTTGGGATATTTTAATCTGGCAGTGCTTGAAATTTGTGACATTAGATGCTATGAGTAGAGACACATCACACTCAGAAAATAAAATATTCTTATAGTTCAGACTGAAATATATGATTAGTACTCTGCCCATTTCTTGAAATAAGGCATATTTGTGCTCTACATTTGGAAATATGCTTAAGTATTGATAAGCCGTTTTTTGATGGAGACCTTCACATAGGTTGGACATCCTGGTACATCTTTTTGCCCTCTTGGCTGCATTTCAGAAGAAATAAAAAGCCAAAAGGAGACTGAATGGCCAAAAAAAAAAAAAAAAAAAATACATTACAAGAATGTTAGAGGGACAGAATCAATGCATTCCTCTGTCACCTCATGACCTCCTTTCTAAGTCCCAAGTTTTTAGTAAAGGTTACTGACACCCACATAAGTAAAATCTGTTAATAATTCTGAGGGACAGTTTGAGTTTTTTTCCTTTGACTGAGAGCTATGATTGTATTAGGTCTAGTAATAATTAATGTCGTTTTCTAATACCTTTTAAAAATCAAATTTATTTAAACAATACAACAAAATTTAATCAACAATATAGTTGCCGTTGTTTTCTACTACTTGTGCCCAATGCTCAGGAAGCATTTTAATCCCTCTGTTGTAAAATTCTTGTGATTTTGATGCAAAAAATTCGGTCAATGCATTTTTGAGGCATTCTTCACTATTAAATTTTTTTCCAAGAAGAAAGTTTTGCAAAGAACGAAACAAATGGTAATCAGAAGGGGCAATATCAGGAGAATATGCAGGTTGAGGGAGAACTTCCCATTCCAACTGGTGCAGTTTTTCAGCAGTGATTCTTGCAGTATGCGGTCTTGCGTTATCGTGGTGAAGAATTACGCCCTTCCTATTAATCAGCGTGGGTTCTTTTTCTCTTAAAGCTTGGGCTAACCTTTCCAATTGGGCCCTATACACTGCACTTGTAATGGTTTGGTTAGATGGTAAAAGTTCATAATGAAGAATTCCTTTAAAATTCCACCAAACACACAACATCACTTTTTTCTCATGCAAGTCAGGTTTTGGCATGGGCTGCGGAGCCTCATTTTTGTCCAACCATTGAGGCCGCCTTTTCAAATTAACATACAGCACCCATTTTTCATCTCCGGTAACAATTTGCTCTTAAAACGGCAAACGGTTTTGACGAGAGAGGAGCGAACTGCAAATTGTGACTCTTTGATTACGGTTGTTGTCGGTCAACTCATGAGGAACCCATTTTCCAAACTTTTGGACTTTGCCAAGTGCACGCAATTGATTGGAAATTGTTTTTTGTGAACAATTTAAAGTTGACGCAAGCTCTTGTTGGGTAATTTGAGGATTTTGCACCAAAAGAGCTTGAAGAGCTTCTTGATCAAAATTGGACACACGGCCTCGACCACTCTTGTCATCTAACGAAAAATTTCCCTCGCGAAATTTCTCAAACCAACGCTGGCATTTTCTGGCGCTAACTGCATCTTGACCAAGAGCACTTACAGATGTTTTTTGCAGCCTCACTTGCTTTTCTTCCTAATTGGAACTCGTAAAGCATGCAGTGCCCAATATGCTCTTCATCTGCCATCTTCTTAGCCCTAGTTTTGCAACAAAAACCAAACCAAACACAAACTTTTTCAAGCAAAACTTGTTAATTGCACTTCACACGTTCTATAGATACCACATGTTTGAAGGTTATGTCAAGACAAGTCAACGCCAAGCAAGATTTTAAACGAATGTTTAAAAACGACATTACTTATTACTAGACCGATATGTACAAACACGGTCAGGGCTATTTCTACTGGAGAAAAGCAGGCACAAGCTAGGTGAAGGTTGTGTCAAATACCCTTTTCTCACAACTGTTCTTCAATGAGATTTATTGAACATTGCATTCATTCATTCCTTCACTCATTTATTCACTCATTCCCTCACTCTCATTTATTCAACCAGCATTTACTTGTTAATTTTTAAAATATATTTGTATTGATTTCAAAGAGAAAAGAAGAGGTAGAGAGAGATAGAAACATCAATGATGAGAGAAAATCTTGATCAGCTGCCTCCTGCACACCCCCACTGGAGATGGAGCCCACAATCTGGAAATCAAACTGTGACTCCCTGCTTCATAGGTCGGTGCTCAACTACTAAGCCACACTGGCTAGACTCAACTAGCATTCATTGAATGCCTACTGTATTCCATCATTCTAGGGTGCCAGAGATAAAAGTTAAGATAAAATGCCTTCCATTAAGGAGCTCACTATCCTGTGGCACTCCTCTCAAGCTGCTGGGATTCTGCAAAGTACAGAGATTAAGCCTAAGAAAAATGAAATTACTGAAAGAATCTATGGACAGAGAGGCTGATCCTCTGTCATGGATATTGATACAAAGGAACTGCTCAATGAGTTCACTGAAAGTTATAACATATGAATGTGTAAGATTATAATTCCTCATAAATTAATAATTGTGTGAGAGGATAATGGAAGTATTTTGTCATATTCCAGAATTAAATTATCAACTTTGGGGGGGGAAAGAATGTATATAATGTTTATTCCCACCAATGGTGGAGGAGTACTTGCTTCTGTATATAAGGGGATCCCCTTAGATAAATCTGCTTGGACACCTATGACATACAGAAACAGCATTATACTGGGAAACTCAATGTTCTAGTCTTAATTCTACCACTAATTCATCATTATCAGAATCTTAACTGATTTGGGTGTATCAACATCCTTAACTGCAAAGCAAGAGGGATAGAATATATAAGATTTTGCTATGAAGTTCTATAATTTTTTATATCTTGTGTTCCTGAATCAACTAGTACTGGGTATAATCAAAAGGTAATAAAATCCAGCCCTGGCCAGTTGAACTCAGTTGGTTGGAGGGGTTACCAGTTGGATTCACAGTCAAGGATACATGCCCAGGTTGCAGGCTCAATCCCCAGAGGGAGGCATGCAGAGGCAGCCCACTGATGTTCTGCTCTCACATCAATATTTCTTTCTTTTCCCTTCCTCTCTAAAAATCAATAAACTCTTCTTAAAAAAAAAAAAAAGGTAATAAAATTCAGATAGGCCACTGCTCTTCCACTCTTAAATCCTCAAACTTCTGTTCTCATTTCTCTGTTAACAGCTCAGCATTCACAGTCACCATGTCTGAACCTCAAAATTACCAAATCCAAGCAGCTGTTGTTACTATGCTTTCCTCTGAGCTCTCTATAGCACTTGACGCTGGTGGTCAATAGCTCCTCTTCATAATTAGTTCCTTCCCTGGCAACTATGGCACCATCCTGCTTCCATCTCAAACTATTCCTATGACTGAGCTCTGAA